ACCAGACAAACAATCAAGCAGAAAACAATACCCTAATGGAGGAACTACCAAGGAATAAACCACACCCCCACCAACCCTGGGGATGTCAGCTGGGGAATTCTGGGAGCCGAAGTCCACACATCTTCAAGTTCCCGGTGTCATCCACACAGCTGGCTGGGTTACTCTGAGCACCTCTCAACCCAACCCACCTGACGACTACTCTGAGCACCTCTCACCACACCTCAACCCAACCCACCTGACGACTACCAGAGGGCACCAAAGAGATACATAAACTTTTTTTTTTGCTGCCACTTGACAGTGGTCCGAATTTCGAGGCTTTAGACGTGGGCTACTCACTGCGACTGCCCGCGAGGTGCTGATGCTGCTCATCTTTTGCCTGGCCCAAAAGGAGCACGGTTTTAGGTGTCTTTGCCACGGCGAGGTAACCTTGCTGACAGCTGATCTGGCAAAGAGCTTCAGGATCCTCTTCGAAGATGCTGGGGTGGTACCCCGCCTTTGGGAACAAGAGCAACGGGGGTCTGCGTGGCGGTGAGGAAACAGCCGGCGAATCCGACAGGCCGCTCTCTCTGGCTCCGGATCGCTGCTCGCGCATCTTTTCGGCAACTTTCTTCCCAGACCTCCGGGACCGGCGCGCAGGTGCGGAGCGCGCGGCTGCGGCGGAGGTAGTGCCTCCGCCGAGGCGTCTCTCCCTTGCGCCCCGCATGAGTGAAGGGTGCTCGCCTCTGAGCGCCCAAGAAAGGACGGGCAAGGTGTCCAAAACGATGCGCGTCTTTTCTCTTCTGTGGGCTGTTTTAGGATGGCTGGACATTCCAAACGTAAGAGAAGGCGTGTCTTGCATGGAAATCGAAACTGAGGCACTTGCCGCAGTCCGTAGCACAGATTCGTTTTCGGTTTAAGGAAGGAGAGAGCGGCTGGGAGGCTCTCCGAAGCCCTGGGTTTATCGTGAAGACGTTGCCGCTTTGCACGGAGAACAGCCGCCGGCTCCTGGAGCTTTCGGCCGGCCCCAGGGTTTCGTTTTATTTCGGGTTTGCAAGCATATTCTCGGAAGCTCAGGGACGTCTGCCCTAAGTTTATCCCCACAACAATCCGTGAAGTAGGTTGGATGGGGAGGAACTGGTCCCAAGCCATCAAGGAGGTCTCGGGGGGGGTCAAAAAAGTCAAGATGGTGGCCAAACCATGCGATCAAAGCCCCGCCCCTTTTTTACATGCACGTAAAGTAGGACAGAACGTGGGTCGTGATTATGGCCACACCTCGACTTCTTTTGACCTCCCCGTGGACAACAGGGTTTCATCATTTAAGAGCATTTGACAGGTTTTGCAAATGGGAAGAAAATGCATTTTATTCTCCCAACAATCCTGTGGGTTAAGTCTGGCTGAGGCAGGTGAATTCATAAAATGTTAAGCCAGAACTCATGGTGGACAAATTACAGTGCTGGGTTCCCACAACACTTAAAGTTAGAACTGAACAAACCTAGTGCCCCGTAGGAACCAGATCACTCTCCCAGAGATCAAAGAAACATGCTGCAGGAGAAGGACAGGAGGAAGAATACACACTTGTCTACTTGGGGTTCCCTCCATAGGTATCTGGCCAGCTATTGGAGGAACAGAATGCTAGATTATCACTGTAGAACAGTGTTTCTCAACCTTGGCAATTTTTAAGATGTGTGGACTTCAACTCCCAGAATTCCCCAGCTAGCATGCTCTGCCACAGCAGAGCATGCTGGCTGTGGCATCCACCTGTGTCACAACATGATGGCTGGGAAATTCTGGGAGTTGAAGCCCATACATCTTAAAGTTGCAAAGACTGAGAAACACTGAAACATTTTTTAAGTCCATAACATTCGGAAGAGATTCAGACACCTCTCTAATTCATTGAAGGAGGAGGAGGAAAGACACAGACTTGGAAGATTCTTTTAGTATAGCCAATCTCAAAAATAGTTTCAGTCTTCTTATGGAGTTGATTTCCTTGTTTGGTCTACATAGTGGGGCTGACAATCACTTTCTTTGGGTGATTCACTGCAAGACTGGTGAACAGAAGGAGCCTTGGTTTAGCAGTTTAGTGCCTAGTCATTTGACAAGCTGTGTGGATATGCCAGTTTATATATACCCCAGTTTAATGAAAGCCATGTTTAAATTAGCCCCATGATACTAAGATGTCAGTACTTAAAAAGGCCTAGGGACTGCCTGTCTTCTGCATTCTGACAGAGTCAACTTTCCTCAGATCTTGCCAGTTAAGCAGTGTCATCCAGTGGGACCCAGGAGATGAGTCACCTGTCCCAGCACCTGTCTTCTGGACCAGCATTCCCATCCCCCACCCCTCAGAGATTCGTACAGCCTGCCCCTTGCCTACCCTCATGCCATCCTTCAAGCCTTTTTTCCCCAGGAGTTGGGTTAGAGCATTTGGACAGGCCCCTTTAAGTTGAGAGTGATGTGAAAGGATGCTATCTTGTTCCTTTGGACAGCTGTTCTTTTTGCATAATACAATTCGACTTAAGTTTATGAAGCCATTCAGAGTTGTTCTGGAGTTGGGCAGCCTAAAAATTGGATAAATAGTAAGAGAACATGGGAAGGGATCCATGTGTACAAAAATGTGAGAGGGCAAAAGAAAAGGATGGGGACTAGTGAGGTGGGGAAAATCCCCAAATGGCATTAGTAGACCCACTCACACAGGGGCCAGGCATCAAAGCTTGCCTTCCCTCCACAAATGGGTGGGGCAAAAAAACAATCAAGACCTGTGGTGACCATGGTCCAGACTGAGCACTGGAATTTAGACTGGAATTTATTAAGCTTTAGGATTAACTAGGCACAACATGGGAGGACAACAACTTAAGGCTGCTCTGTGGAATTGCTCTTGCCTCGAATCAAGCAATAAAGAGGCTTCCTTGTTTGTTTGTGAGATTGTTACAGAGCATAAAGAATCAAGCAAAGTCTTGTTTCATAGGTTCTTACTTCATAGTAGCAGCTTAATTGTTAACACTTTCTTCCCAGACTTACATTTCTAAAGGCCATGTTTTCTAGTTTCTTGTACATCAAGTGTTTTTCAAACTTGGTAACTTTAAGTTGTGTGGAATTCTGAGAGTTGAAGTCCACACATCTTAAAGTTGCCAAGTTTGAAAAACACTGTTATACTTCTTTCTTTGTTATTGATAATTATGCTTTTCAGGCACCACTAAGTACAGTACAATGGAACAGTTTGGCTGACTCTAATTAGGAATTACTGTCCAAAGCGTAATCCATGTGCATAAATGTACGAAAACACTGTTATAAGATCCAATACTTTAAAACATATTGCTTGTCTTACCTAAACCTGGTTGGGCCCAAGGTGTGTGTGTATTCCCCTCTCAGAAATGTACCCACCCAGGTTTCGGGTTCTGCAGCCAAGAGCCCAGGGAGGAGAGGAGGGGAGGCTATGGTCATCCATGGGTGGTTACAGGCTTTCAGGGGCTCTGCTCCATAGATAACCAGGTGTGAGGCTCTCTGGTTGAAGGTGGGCTTAAGGGAACAGTTGGGATTGCTGCTGGTGTACCACCCTCCTTGCTGCCCAGTGGCATCCCTGCCTGAGCTGCTGGATTCCATCGCTGGGTTGGCAAGAGTCCCCAAGTCTGCTGGCACTTGGGATTTCAATTTGCCACCCAGCAATGTTGAGTTTGCGGCCTCCATGGCAACCATGAACCTGTCCCAAGTCATTGATCGCACCATGCATACCAATGGCCGCGTGTTGGATCTGGTTTTGTCTCAGGATGCTTGAGGTATATTCTGGCAATGGAGGTGTAACGATCTGCCACTTCCAACTCCCAATGCCAGTAACTCTCTTGCAACCAATAAAGGTTCAAAGGAAAGTTCATTTATTGATAAAAAGTGTACAGGTCCAATCACCTGGGGTGGGCTATCAAATGGACCCCGTCTCCCAGTGGCAACCAGAGAGTGATCTTTCCATGGCAACGAGCTGATGTGAATCTCCTCCTGTCAGAATCCTTGCAATCAGTTAACTAGTCTGAGGTGCTCTGGGAGATGTATCAGCTCAGCCACCTGTTGACTGGATCCAGGCCTCTCCTGGATTGCAAGAGTGGCTAGGGAGATGATCCATGGTTGAGTCCATGCTGTCATCCTCTTTGATGGAGGTGGTTGTGCACCCCCTCTTCAAGAGGCTGTCCTTTGAGCTAACAGTTTTCAATAACTATTGGCCAGTTTCCAACCCCCTCTTTTTGGGGAAGGTTGTTGAGAAGGTGGGTGGTCTGCAGCTGATGAGACCCCTAGAGGAAACAGATTATCTAGACTTGTTTCAGGCTGGGATTTAGTGCTGAGACAGCTTTGCTTGCACTTGTGGATGACCTGTGGCAGAGCTGGGATGGAGGTGGTGTATCCATTCTTGCATCTCTTGGTGGCTTTTGATGCTGTTGACCATGGTAACCTTCTGAGCTGACTTCATGGCTTGGGGATTGGGACACCATTTTATGGCGTTTCTCTTACTTTCTCCAGGGCTGGTTTGTTGATGTTGGTTGGGGGGAAACATCACTCCCTAGGCCCCTTCTTTGTGGGGTTCTGCAGGGTTCTGTTCTCTCTCTCCTTCTTTTCAACATCTATATGAAATCCTGGGTTAGGTCATCTGCCGGTTTGGGGTTCAGTATCATCAGTACAGGTATTCCTCACTTTACAACCATTTGTTCAGTGAATAAAGTTACAATGGTGCTGAAGGAATGGCAGTTACAACCAATCCTTGAAGTTATGGCCATTGTAGCACCCCTGCAGCCATGTGATCAAAATTTGGGCATTTGGCAGCCTACCCACATTTACAACCGCAGTGTGCATTTCAACTCCTCCCTCCCATCTATCTCTCCCCCCCCCCCCCCCCCCATCTCTGCTCTTTTGGCCGCCCTACACTCCACTACTGAGCTGACCTTCACCATCGTCTTCCTTCCACTGCAGAAAAGGCACACCTGGCCAAGGCAGCTGCTGGTCCTTTGCAAGGCTGCTGGAACACCTGAAACTCAGACTGGCAGATTTCTAAAAAGGACTATCCCTATCTTTGCCACTCAGTAATATATGTATCTCTGTGTGCTCTTTCATTACTAAATCATTGAGTTTACTAAATCATTACTTACATTTGAGTAAGGTGACCCACACAGACTTGGCATTTGGCAACAGCAACCAGACCCCACTGGAATCAGAAGCCCCAGCTCACTACAGATGAGAGGTGGGCTTCTGTATCCTCTCCCCAGCATTTCAAGGGCTTTTACTCCAAAGAGGGGATCTTTCTGCTTACTTATCAATGTCATCCATGGAGTAAACCTGTCTGTAGTTCAAAATCTAAGTTTGGAAGACAAGTCTCTGCAGTGACAGCTTCTTGGGCATCAGCAGTTGAAGCCAGGCAGTGAAGGGGCTGCAGTTCCTCTTTCCAATCTTCCTGCATGTACTAGCCTCCAGCTGCAAGGGGTAACCTCTGTCTCTGTCTATCTCTCCAGTGCCCCCCAGAAAAGCATCACGTCTACAAAAGCAATGACTTCTGCCTAGGAAAAATATCAGCAGTCCAGCATCAGGAATGCCCACATCTTCAGAGACTCCATTGCCTCCATTAGCACCAAACACTGCAGCGTAAAGGCTCCAGTTACCTCTTGTACCAGAGTCTATCTTCTCCCTTCCATCCTTTCACAACTTACTTCCTCGTCCCTACACTCTTCTTCCACGTCTGTGACTAAATCAGATACCATTTCCTTTCCCTTCCTTTTCCACACCATTCTCATCATATCTTCTCAAACATTTCAGCCATCAATCAGCTGTAACTTTTTCATACTTTTCTGTGCTCCTTTGTAGTCAAATTGCTGGATGGTGTGGAATTGTAGAGAGAAGAGGGAGCGGCCTTGAGGAAGGAAGAGCCACTACCAAGACTGTAGTCAGATAAAAGAGGTTCGAGTCAGGCAGGAATGTAATGTGAGTAAACATCTCAGACAAGGCTAGTTCTCATGAAGATAAAGGGAGGAAGGGGGAAGCGCATTTAGACTTGCAATATTCTGTTACACTAGCTTTATATAAAAATAGTACTGACCTATATGACATTAGATTCTTAGTCCGATCTACCTTGAAGGGCTGACAGGAATATAGAAATTCAGCAACAACTCCTCCAATTTCTTACCACAATCCTAATTGCAAGGTAGTAACTGGGCACTTTCAGTAAGATGCTAACTTTCCACCTCAAAATGCACCAGTACCCAAGATGTCAGAGGATAATTACCTTGTATCAGGTTTGAATCAATCCCTGGCCACCATGACAGTTAAAAAAATAATAAAATAAAATCCAGTAAATTATTAGGAATAAGATCATCTAGGAGGATTTTCAGAAATAACCAGATTAATAAGCACATATATTTAAAAGGAACATATTAACTCAATCTAATTACATATTAGTCAAAACAGTGTATTTTCAAAGTACTATATATTTGATTTTATATTGTACATGACCACTTTATTTCTAAATATTACATCTTTAATGCAGGAAAATCACTGAACAATCATCTGACCAAATTCCTTGGAACAATCTGTCCTCACATCTGAGGCCAAAAGAAGGATAGAGCTACAAAGGTGACATCTCCAAGTTCCTGTTTTAGACTATTCTCCAACATTTGCCAAAGCCCCGATTGTTCTTGATAGCCAACAGAAGCTTCTCTTTCAGTTTTTGTTTTGTTGAATAAGTTGGCAGCTGCAAAAGATGAAAACAGGTCTGGGCCTCGGGGATAAGATCATCTGAAGGTAAGTCATGTGGGTGAATTGTTATCTTCCAGGATTTCATTCCTGTCACAGAGATCCGGTCACCTCCTACAACAAACGCTAGAAATATGAGAAATAATCAGTTGAATACAGAACATGAGGTAGAACATAGACAGTTCTAAGAATATGGGATTCTTCAGCTCAGGATAATACTGCCTCTAAAAAGACAGAATAAAACATCTGTTATCCTGCTGGGACCACCACCTGTGGTGGTGATTCCCAATCCAGCCCTACATTATAGAGTTGCTTCTCAACTATCTTTTCAATTCCTTGTCTATCCATATTAGGGGAAGCTTTTGGAGGATTATGAATGTCTTCTGCTGAGATTCATAACAGCTCACAACACAGACAAGAGGTTCACCTTCAAGATCTTTTGAAGAGTGATGAAGTAGTTGCATATAGATACTTACACAGAAAACCTTTTTTATCCTCCAAAGTCAGCTCATGAAAAACCTCCCAGAACATCTTTATGGTTGGGTGCGTTGGGCTGTATATGCCACCGTACACAGCATTCTTCAATGCAAGAGGCAGGCAATGGCAAAAGATCAACAAGAGAAGTGGTAAGAATAAAAAAACTGGATTACCCACAGACCATATATAGCTTTTAGAAACTTTGCAGCCATGTCCAAACTCTTATATTCCATCCATGCAATTCTATGGCTCACCTATTTGATAAGCTAGGAGAATTGAGTAGAGCTGTGATGGAGAAAAATTAATTCCATTTACCAGACCCCACCCATGCCAATGTAACATTGTGCTGTGGCCAGCTGCAGCAGTCCCATTCCTCTGATCATGATCCCGCTCATGCAGGTCTTTACCATAATATACATCTCTCCATTCACTTACCTCTTCATACAAATGCCAATCATAACTGGCATTTCCAATTGCCACTTCCCTCAGTTGTTCAGGCTCAAAGATGTCAACTAGTTGTTCATCAAGGACTTTGTAAAATCCTCTCTTGAACTCTCTGAAAACATCTTCCACTGATTTGTTGAATATGTAATCCACATATTTGTCGACAAAGTCTTTCCTTTAAAAAGTAGAAATAGGTAATTTGCTCCCAAGGCAAAAACAAACAGCATAAGTCTGTTTTTTTTTCTTCAAGAAATCAAGTTTCTTCTTAAATAGAAGTTGGCATTTTAATAAATTTATCAGGATTCAAAATCAGGTCTCTTTTGGCCAAATTCTGTTAACACTGCACATAAATCTAAAATTATCTGCCCAGATCTATTTGTTAATGTAACCAATGTTCACTAGCTCCTTTACTAGATGTTTACAAGGATTAGTTGGGACTAAAGATTAGTCTTTTTAATTCTTCAGTTTGTACTACAATTCAAAATGTATCTACTACTCCACATTTAGGCCTTCGAAAGAGAACAGGATTGAAATTCTATAAGGATAAAACAATTAGGAGTTGGACTTGTTGCATTTTAGTTAGGTATGTTTTTCTCTTTTCTCCCCATTTCCCTCCTTTTTTCCTAAACTCTCACTGTACAGGCAGTCCTTGGGTTACAATGGCAATTGGGACTGGGATAACTGTTGCTAAGTGACGCAGTTGTAAAGCGTGATGTCACATGACTGCATTGCTTAGCAACGGCAATCCTGGCAGTCCCAGTTGCTGTCACAACCCCAGCATCTCGCAGGTCATTAAGTGGGAAGAGTGCCAGATAGGGAGTGTGGGGGTCGGGTGCTGCAGGCAGGCAGGGGGATGTTGTGAACAGTTGGGCAAGGGGGTGCTGGGGAGCACAAGTAAGCTGGTGAGAGCCTCGAGTGGATGCTGGGGAGCAAGGGATGTGGGCAGGCGCTGTGGAGCAAAGGTGGCAGAGGTGACTTACAGGAGCAACTTGCAACCTTCCCTGCTGGCTTCCCATTGACTTTGCTTGGGAAGGTTGCAAATGGTGATCATGTGACTGAGGCTCACTGTGATGTCATAATCGCAAGCCAGGCACCTGGATTGCAGTCACGTGATCACGGGGACACTGCAACAGCACAACTTTGCATCGTAAGTCCCTTTCATTCAGCGCTGTCGTAATTTTGAACAGTTGCTGAATGAGTGGTCGTAACTCAAGGATTACCTGTAGTTTAGATCTGAAGAAAAAAAAATCCCACAGAAATTCAAGAAGTTTGTGGATATCAGTAGCTGAAAGTTTAAGAACTTATTTGACTTCTATATAGTACTTTAGTGATGTGTTGAACTATGATTCCCCATCACTTCTAACATCGCTGGCCATGGTGGCTGGGGATAATCTGAGCTGTAACACAGCACATTTGGAGCGATCATTTTAGGAGACATTGATACATACTTATTGGCATTGTTTACAGCTGTCAAAATGCCATTTGAAATTAAGTCTACATCCATTTTGTCCCAGGAAATCTGCAAAATAAAGTTGCTGCATTTTAGGGAAAACCGAAATTTGAAACTGAAATTAATTTATTTGTGCTGTCTTAGTACTGAACAGTGTCAAGACTTTCTATTTACAGGCTAGTTGGCATCAACAGTTTCAGCTAATGAAACAGCTCTGAATAATCCTTTGGTTAGTTCACATATGGTCTCAAGCCATGGTCTGTTTAACTGTAGTTTACTGAATAACTGGGAAGGCTCATCCAACAAACTTTAAGCCATGGTTTGTGAACCATAATAGCTGGATTCACACAGCATACCAACCATTAAACAAATCACCTTATCACTTAGTGTATTGTGTGAATCGGGTTTCAGCCTTTAGTGGTTCCTCTCCGGAGGACCCAGGGGTGTCCGTAGGATGTAGTCAAAAAAGTGCAATGCACATAAAGAACAGGCTGAGCTTTGATTGCACCATCATGGATGCCATCTTGATATTTTTGATCACATCCCTGGAGGACCCCCTTCTTCTCAAGACAAGGTAATTAACATCAGATATTTTTTCCTTAATATTGGCAATAAGTCTTCAGAATGATCTCTCTAGCGTCATTCACCTATTTATTCCAACTTATTTGTTCGCTCACAGCAAGAAAAAGTTTTTTTCCACCTTTTAAGTGATTTTACTGCCTCTAGGTTTCTTCCATTTTTAGCCTCTATTCCGGCTTATTAAGCATCTGAAGAGGCATCATAAAGGACGGCAGGGACCTGGCAGATACTCACAGAGTAACACAGCTGAAAAACGTCTTCAAGATTTTCATGTTCATAATCAAGAACTGCCTGCAAACATCTTGTTAACAAAAGGAAGTAGAAAATGAAGTATTACATAAAGTTCTTTCAGCATATATTAAAACATTGCCAATCAAATAAAAATCATACACATTGAAATGATTTCACATTTTTATAAACCTAAAAATGTGAACAAGATCTCTGGACCAGTCCAGGCAACCATGAGTAGACTCAAACTTGTCCTTTTTGAATCATATCTAGTGCTGGAGCTGGAATGAAGATGGATAGCTTGATCCAGATGGTCAATTACTTGGTGAGAAGATGCAGAGAAGATATTTGTATGACTGCTCCAGAAAGACCTCCTTTGGATCCAGATAATTTTAAAAAGTAAGCTGTGGGTAATATCCTCTTTCCAGACCAAGCGGTGTAGCCAATTTTAGGAGGCACATGTATCTACTGTGATTTGGGTCATCTTTACCAATCTAGGCTGGGACACCAGTTACAATAATGGACAAAAGAGAACATTTCTTCTCTTAGAGAGTTCAGAAGAAGTGTCTGATGTCTAATGTATTTGTAGACATATTTTGGAATAAATGTATTTTTATCACAGATCTATGGGTTATCTCCAAAATATCCTTGCTTCTGCTGAAAAATTGAAATATCTGTGCTTACAAAGAGCAAGTGCACTGCTGGTTATTTTAAAGGACATTTAATGAATTATTTCCACACTAATACAGAAATGGGAACCTAAGGAGATCCCATGAAGAAAAAAAAGTAGATAGACTTCATCTTTTCCTTCCCCTAGAAGATGGACTTCTTGCCTTTGGTTATGCATAGAGAGCACCTTCTCTGTCAGCTCTTACAGCTATGTAACTGGGAAGAGTAGAATCTTCTATGTTAGTACATTATGAAGAGTCAAGTCAAGAGACACCTCCTACTGGAGAAGGGATGAGCTCTTAGAAATGTCAAAAGATTTGTTGATCTCCACACCTTTGGGTAGGTCATTCAAATGTTGGATTCCATTACTTTTGGCAGGCTATCAACACATTCTTTGAAACAGAAACATGGCTTTGTAAGTTGTAGGGTGAATGCAACAACTGGACAAAATCAGTTAAGAGATTCATTTACCCTAGTAAATTGATAGAACTGAATTCACTTACTTTCCTAGGACAGGGCTTAGTTCTTTCACATCACTGAGAGTTGGTCTCTTGCTAAGCAGCTTTTTAAAGAGAGCAAGTGGGAATGGTATGTAGGACGTGACTCCGTTGGCTATGGAGAGTCCACAGAGAATACCAAAAAGGTAATATTTTTTCTTCTCCACAGAAGGCTGCAAGAAGACAAGATTACAACAACAGAACATCACTACAACTCCCAACAAGCATGGTCAATGGGAAGGAATACAGATAAAGTACTTCTGCAATATTTAAAGGGACGCAAGTTTCTACAATGGGACAAATATCCTGGTAAAATGAGGAGTAGTATTAGATCACATACAGTATGAATCACCAGCTTCTTCAGCTGCACTATCATACGCTACTAGAGCCCGCTTACTTTTCCCTGCACCTAGGAATGAATATGTATTTTCCTGCAGCTAACAGCAATGGAGAAATAGTGAGCTTATTTGAAAGGTCTTATCTCTTCCTGCCAGACATCAGGAGAAAACTTTCAAATTAGTGTTCTTTATCAAAGTGCATACTGCTGAATGGTTAAATGCTACCATTCATTCAACTCAATTTCTTTAATGCCTTAAGGCAACTTTCCCACACTCTGGGGCCTCAAGAGGTGTTGGGACAACAAATCCTCAAATTCCCCCAGTTAGCATGTTTTGAAGTTTCTCAAACTGTTTTTTTTTTTGGTGTGTGTGCACAAAAGACCACGCAATTCATACCTGCATATAGTTTTCCTCATTAAGATCCAGGATCCCCAAAATTGGGTCAATAGGGGGACAGGTAGGTATCACCTTGATGAATTATAAGTCCATTTGTACTGGAATCAGGTCTGACAAGCTTACCTTGGGAGGGAACCACATTGGGGAATTGTGTTCACAATACATAAACATCCCATAGTCTGGCCGCACCACCTCCTTAAACACCAGTGAAAAGAATTCCACCAGGATACTCATACCTCCATAACCAGACATTTCATTTTCAAACTGAATCTGCCAAAACAAAGAAGGAAAGAAAAAAGAAAAAGTAGTTCAAGGCATCTGTATTGACCTCACAGAGGGAAAACAACTGAGGGATCAGTCTCCATAAGCCCTCAAGCAGAGGTTAGCTACTGTGCTAGCTTTCATCCTGCGATCTCACTTGTGTACCAATACAGAAATGATTGAAAGCAGATCTCAAATTCTTGCACGAAGCTGCCTCCAGTAGTCCCCTACCACAATCCCCCACTACCTTGCTTCAAAATCATCTTTGCAAGGTTCCCCAAGGTTTCTGAACAGACCTGGAGAATGCAAAGGCAACTCAGGCTTCTGCAAAGTTTGGAAAAAAAAAAGTTGTGGCAGTTTTAAAGATTACATCAATGAATTGACAGCTTAAAACACCAGCATCCTTTTTCAGGTGGGCACAGAAAGCTGAAAAATGTTGGGGTCCTTTAGTGAATAGCAGAGAAGTTCTGAATCTGCAGAAGGTCCAAAGCATTTTTTCCACATTGTTTTTGAAGTTTACACAGCCCTCGTGTAACCACATTTTAATCTAAGTGAAATAATGAATCACATTCAATTTGTGCTAGTCCTACTCTTCTGAGATGCTACCTAAGGATTTGTGAACTCTCAGTCTAAAGATTTTCAAATCCTGCTAAATAGATCAGTTCAGAAGTAAGCCCCACAGAGTTCAGAAGCAAATGCCCCTTGCGTATAAGCAAAATAAGGTGTTGTAGTAATTAAATGTGTTGAACTGGCAACCAAAAACTCAGGTTCCATGCTCCCATTCAACTATGGAACTCGCTGGGTGTTTCTGGACCAGGCACAATCACTCAGCCAAGCTATTCCACAGGACTGCTGTTAGGTACAGAAAAATTAGGGGTGACCTTCACCCTGTACATTGCCATTAGCTTCTTAGAATAAAGGAAAAATATAATTGTTAGAGAAATAAATAAAAAGTAAGCAAACAAATAAGGATAGATTTTTAAAAATGCAGTCCCAATTTTTAAGGCTATGCCAATTCATTCTAAAATTCAAAGCTCAGTTAACCCTGTATCAGCAGACCACAGATATCTCACCAGCAGTTGCTTTTTCAGGCAAATGTCCTCTACTATATTCAGTTTGCGCCACGTGTCTTCAATGAGATTGTGGCGTCGCACTTTCAGTTGAAAGGTAGGTATTTCTGGAAGTTCACTGGTTTGCAGCGTTAGGTTGCGGATCAAATCATTGTGAGTGTTTCTTTTGAAGTTCTGGAGAAGCCCAAGAAAAAAGAGAGAAAAACCAATATGCTTTTTTTCCCACTATGTATCGTGGAAGAAATGTAAGGAAATCAAAGGAAAACTTCTTTTAAGGCAAGTTTGATGATGGTGTTTACATTTAAGTATAATTTTCCCCCAAAGTAACATAGCAGCATTCAACCATTTCCTTAGATCCCCATTCCCAAAGTCCTAGCAGAGGAAGATGGGAGGGAATGAACTAAAATAAATGGGCTTGGAGTTTCCTTAAATGGTAACCAAATTGGGCCCTTTAGGAATCTGACTTATTTTATTCAATTCATTTCTATATTGCTTCCATGTCCAAGATATTTTGTACCATGTCAACCTCTACTGAGACAAAAGTAGAAGAGAGAGGCTGCAGGAAAAAGGATTGAATGGAAGGGTCCTGCTTTATTCTCCTTCCTTCCTTCCTTCCTTCCTTCCTTCCTTCCTTCCTTCCTTCCTTCCTTCCTTCCTTCCTTCCT